GCGGTTCATCAGGCGGTTGACACGAGCCTCGGGGATGCTCAGCTTGCCCTTCAGCACTGACTCTTGGATGACAGGGAAGCTGGGAGACCTGTGGGCACAGCGCCACTGAGCTCCTCGGTTTGTCACCACCCCTTACTCCCGCTGTCACCCGGCGCTGAATTCACCCTTCAGATGGTTTTTGGGGAGAAACCTTCACCTCTTTGGGCTCCGGGTGGGAGCAGCAGCATCCAAGGGGCCAGTGGGGAAACGGAGGCACAGTGCCAGGTCCCCAGGGTGAGAGGACTGAGGGATGGGGACCTTGGGGACACCACCAAGGTCTTACTTGGGGATGGGGGAGAAGATGCTGAGGCCAGCACGGAACTTCTTGATGGTGCCACTTGTCTTGAACCAACTGTGCCGCTTCTCCTGCTGGGTCTTCAGGAAATCGTTGCTGAGATGTTTCCATTGCTGGGATGTGAACATGCCCAGGATCCTGGCAGAGAGGTGGTGTGGGTTGCCAAGTGGGGTATCAGCATCCAGGGGTGCATCAGCACCCACTGAGACTGGTACCTGGGGTGGTCCAAGCCATCCAAGCCACCCAGCTCCTCCTATTCCCCACCCAAAACTGGTGGTGAGCCTGCCCTGGGGCTGTGCGGCAGGTAAAAGGAGGTGGCATGGGGACATGCAGCATTGGCCAGTTTTGGGGCAGTTTTGGGTGACCCTACAGCCCACCCCACCCACCACCCTTGGTGCCCATTGGGTTTCAGCTCTTACTTCTTCAGCTGCAGCCCCAGCCCGAAGCCCTCCTTGTTGGATGGTTGGAAAACCTCAATGGACGGTTCTGAGGGGAGAGAGAGGAGGACAAGACACCAGTGCCACCGCTGTCCCCGTCCTGAGGGCAGGTGGGGGGACACTGCATCCTGCCCCTCCCCACTCACCGGGGCCATCGAGGTACTGGGAGAGGGAGAAGCGGAGGCGCAGGACGATGGGCTCCGTGCGCAGCACCTTCCACGCTGTCGCCACCTCCTCCTGCCAGGGGACAGCCACGGTTTGGCACAGCCCCCAGACTCAGGGACCTCCCCCGAGGGTGTGTGTGTGTCCCCTCCCCCTGCCAACACCCCTGGGCACTCACATCGAGGAAGCTGATGTTGACGTGGAGGTCGATGTCCACGTCGTCGATGGTCCCGTACTCCCTGCGGAGACACGCGGCGCCGCGGCGGGGGGCCGGGGTGAGGCTGGCACAGCCACCTGGTGCCCCGCGTGCTGGGGCAGGGGGCTTGTGGGGTGGCAACGGGTGCGTGTGGCTCCCCGTGTACCCCACGTGTGCACCCGAAACTGGGATGGCACCAGGAGAGTGCCTGGATTGGGGGTGGGTGGCTGAGGATGGCACGGCTGGGGCCCAGCGATGTCATGGCCTGGTGATCTGGCCGTGCCACAGCTGGGTGTCCTGGGAATGCCATGTTGGGTGCCCTGGGGATGGCACCACCAAGTGCCCAGAGAAGCCATGGCCTAGTCCCCCAGGCTGGTACAGTGGGTTTCCCAGGGATGGAACAGTTGGGTGCCCTGGTGATGCCACAGCCAGGTGCCCCAAGGATACCACTGCTGGGTGTGCAGGAATGGCAGGGCCAGGTCCCTCTGGATGCCACAGCTGGGTGCCCTGGGTATGGCACAGCCCAGGGATATCACGGCCAAGTGCCCTGGAGATGGCACGGATGAGTGCCTGCAGACGCCAGAGTTGGGTGTCCCGGGAAAGCCATGTCTGGGTGCCCTAGGGATGGCACTGCTGCACGTGCAGGAATGGCACAGCCAAGTCCCAAGCCCCCCGGGGCGGGCAGGGGGGGGCACCCACCTGACGGCCACGGCATTCTCGCTGTAGATCTCCCTCACCGCCTCGATGTCGGCGTCCAGCTGCGGGTGGCGGTACAGGTCGGCGGCGCAGGTCCCCTGCAGCACAGCACCCAGGGCTGTCACCCCCCCAGCCCCACGCG